AAACATCAGCCAGGAGCCCCCCTTGTGAGCCCGACAGCCTGCGCTCACCACAGCAAGAGGCAGGAAAGAGAGAAGGAGCCTCCAAGAAGCTGCACAGCCGCCGCTTTCCACCAGAGGGGACTGCAAGCCCAGGAAAGAGCCGCGGCTCCTGAACAACTCCAGCTCCAGCCCCTCCACGTAGGGGACAGGTCCGTGCCACGGCCATGGCCATTCATCACCTGCTGCCCACGGAAAACCAGTCACTTTGCAAAGATTTACTGCCCTAGCTCAGGCTGTGGCTGCTTGTGCCAGGGCCAGGAGCCTGCCTGCCGGCCTGAGTTATGTATCCAGAGCAGGGCAGGGACCAGCACATGCATCATTTAAGTCCTGCTGTCTTGGACTGGCAGCCTGTGTCAGGTGAACGACTCCTGTCAGGCACCTAGTGGCCTATGCAATGCTGCACTTCCTTCTTGATCCTGCTGATGTGTGCCCTGGAGCGTGCGGGTGAGCCAGCTCCACCCCATGAGCCCAGGATTTTCACATCACCCAACACCCTGCAGCATCTGGGCTGGTTTCTGGCGCACACGGACTCCCACAGAATTAAGCCTCTGAGGCCCTTAGTGGCATCTCTTCTCCCTACCCTATCTGAGGTGGGGACAACTGCTAAGCTGTCATGCACACCCAGACCCGAGCTGCAGAGAAAGGCTCAGACTTATCCAGGGAGTCTGTGGCAGAACAGAGGCTGAGACCCAGGTCTCCCAGAGCCAAGGCAACCCCCAAGGCACTGGCCCAGTGACCCCGATGGATCCTAGATGTAGTTAGTCTGCATTAGCCCAGGTGTTATCCTGCCATGGGCAATGCACAACGGCTCAAAGGAAAACCATGCAGGAGGTGGCTGCCTTCTCCATGAAGTTGCACAGTGGGCTTGGAGACACCTGCACAGAGCTACAGCATGGGAAGCAGAATCACTTATGGCTGCCAAAGCCCCCTGCGCAGCCCCTGTGCCATAGCTGCCTGCATCAAGAGGCAGTGAACAGAGAAGAGACCACATTCATGGGCTCCCGAGCTGCCTGGAGAGGGGAGCAGAGCCTGGCCCTCCCCAGCCCCAACTGCATCACTTGGTCACTAGACTTCACTGCCTATGACCAGGGGGGTCTTGAACCCCCAGCACAGGGTAACAGCTCCCCTGCATGACCAGCTGGAACATGGCTAGCATGGCTATTCCTTTGGTTCCCTGCCTCTCAAGATGCCTTAGTGGAGCTTGCCAATGAGCAAGGCTGCATGTTAACTGTCTGCACCTGAAGACTGGGTAGGTGAGGAGCCTGGTAAATCATGGCAGTGCCGTATGTACCCAGCCAGGCTGGAGCAGTATTTTTCACACGGGTGGTACAGAGCAAGGAGG